CCCACCAGAAGACGAGGCTCTGGCCTGGGAATCCTTCTAACAACCTAGGCAAAGAAAGAAGATCTCAAACCGGCTATCTTTTCCCTGGTAATTTTACCAGCTCAAGTGGTATGCTCTTACTAAAAACATGCTTCCTTAAAGTATCATTTGAAAAGACAGTCATCAAAAGGGAATTTACCACAGAGCCCAAGTACAGCTCCTCACACCCCAAAGGCACACCCTTCCTATAGGAGAGAGCTGAAAGGAAGTGCATTCAGTCCTGCTCACGGCTTACTTTGGAAAACTGCAGGGACTCGTCCTAAGTGACCTTACAATTTTAACTGGTATCCTTTGGTGCCTCCCTTAATTTCTACCCCAAACATTATCAGACAATCAAAAGTCAAAAACATGCTTGTTGACGACTACTGTTCCTTTCTCCTTGGCAGACGGTATATATTTCTCACAGGTCTTTTCCTCATACTTACCTCACTATTTCTAACCAGCACCACCCAATGACACTTCCTGTGAGGATAGAAATGACATACCGATAATCTACATACTCTGTTCCAACCTTCTGTTAGTAGCCCCACACCCCTGCACCAGGGTTCCTTAATCGTGCATCTAAAGGTTGACCTACCACAAAACTATTACAAATCACGGCTTACAGTTAAGTAAAGGCTTTCAATGACTTTGACAACTAGACAATGACTCCAAGACGTTTAAGTTTTAATCAATAAGATATATTACTAAATTCAGAGGGGTAATATAGTATGTTCCAGTGCCTTTCAATTTAGAATCAGCTGGAATAAGGAGACAATAGCTGTGAAGACCAACTGTCATATAAAGAAATAGGCCAGAAACAGGAATAGAGTCCACAGAAAGAGTAATAACGCAAATGGACTATAAAGGTGAAGGAAAAACTCAACCACACAAACAGAAAGATGCAAACTCAAATCCCTTGAGAGGCTATTTCCCACTGACAAAACACCAGGATTTGCTCACATCTTTCTGTCAACAAGGCTACAGAGACATTGGTACATTGTTAGACTATGAAACAGACACAATCTGTATCAAAAAGAATCTGGCAATATCTTAACAAGTCACACATGCATTCACATTTTGTCTCAGCGATTTCACTTATGGGAATTCTATCTCAAAGATACACTAGCAAAAGCACAAAAAGATATATGTCCAAGGCTTTTCTTTGCAAAGGAGTTGAATGATGCAAATGGTTAAACTAACTGAAAGGTTGGTAGTTCCATCCCACCCATCCGCTCTATGGGACTTGACCTGTTTTGGTAAAGATCACAGACAAAATCCAAAAACCCCATGGAGCAGTTCCACAGTCACCTGAGTCTCAATCACCTTGATGGCACCTAACAGCACATTCTTCGTAGAGGAGAGTCAGTCCATGGGGGCACAAGTAGTGCAGACTTTGGCTGCACAAGGCGGTCCAGGTCCATTCAGACGCCTCAGAAAGTTGGGCTGGCAGACACCAGCCATTGGCAAGTTCATGGAGCACAGTTCTCTGACACACAGGCGTCTCCATGAGTCAGAATCGTCCAGATGCTTTTTAAAAAGTCCTTGCAGAACTGTATTACAGCAAAGGAATAGAAACAACAATGGGTTGGATACACAATATATGTACGATACAGCTACCCAGTGTTGTAATACAGTTTATAAAGGAGCATTTCTATTCTGAGCTCCAGGAAAAGTGTTTGTGTTAAAAAAAAGATTAAAAAGTTGAGCAAAGGAGGAGAAGTTTAGGATTACATGAGTGGTCTTCAAATAGTAGAAAAAGAGAATTAAAAGATGGTGGAAACATCATGGGCACGAGAAGGAAGAAAATGTTCCAAAGTTGATTGTGGTGATGATTTTGGTATGATTTACTGAACTACTGAATTGTATGATGCTAATTCTAGCTCAATAAAAAGAATTTTAAAATTTAAATTAAATTAATGGACTCTTTCCATGAACGTTCTGAAGCCCCTGCATATATTTACATAGTTTCCTTATAAATGTGACTACATCTAAATAGGTCTAGTTCTTTAAGGCTGAGTCTACAGGGTTAACGAAAGAGAACATCATAATTTTTTAGAACTGTTAAAGAAAACGGTATCAACTAGGCTAAGTGGGAACTATAGCTATGTGTGGGCAGGGATCAACTAGAAGTCTGAGAGGGAAAGCTGGAGGGAGCACTAAGATACCACTCTGGGGAGCATAAAGGAGACCTTACGAAGCGGCTGCAAACTGAGCAAGCAGAATTACCAGTTGTGTAACCGATGGGGTGATTAGACAAGATGGATGTTTTATACATATCTGCTAACTAACATATGATTAGTAAAATTACCTTGGTCAACACTGTACTCAAATTGAATCTAGCATGACTTGTAATTCTGGTTGATTAGACCTCTTCTGGGGCTTTATTTTCTAACCCATTAATCTTTACAGGTATTTGCTAAAACGTCTGTTAAGTTTCTATGCCTCTACAGTTGCTTTGAAAGTTCAAATAGATCATAAATTAGAAATGTTTTTCCTTTTCTTTATATTTATCAGAACTTGATGTTTTTCATTAAAAAAAAAAAAAAAAGCATGAGTTATTTCCAAAGTAAAGCCTTTCTCCTTAAAGTGAGTTCTACAACCAAATACCATTACAAGAAAGCATACCTGATGGGGTTTTCTAGTCAGTAGTTCAACTTCTTTTCAATGTCTTAAAACATTTGCACTCTCTAATTTTCAGTAGCCAAAAAGTAATCCCTGGCAGACAATGCATAATCAAAGCTATTATATGAATAAGGAAAGAATCATCTAATGGATAGCAGCAACTCAAAAGAATAGATGAGAAACTTAGGGATGAGCTGTGAGTTTGGATTACTGATTGGTTCAGAAAGGAGGTACATCTTGATGAATGTAACCAATGTCATTGAAGTATACACATAGAAGTGCTTTTATTGTAATTACTATCATCAAAAATAAACATATATTGATCCAGAAAGGATTTCAATGCTGTACAAAACTCACTGCCATCGAGTAAATTCTAACTCATAGGGACCCTTACAGATAAAAGTGCCTATGTGGGTTTCCAGTACCTGTATCTCGTTTGGGGAGTAGAAAGTTTCATTTCTCTCCCAGAGCAGCTGATAGTTTCAAACTGCTGACCTTATGATTAGTAGCCTAATGTATAACTACTCTGCCATTAGGGCTCCTCAATGCAGTATACTTATTTTTTAAATAGCAATAAAACATTCTATCAATTAAATAAAACTTTGTGTGCTCAAAAGTTTTTAACACCCCATGTAGTTTCTTATGCTTTTTCTCTGAAAAGGCCCAAGTGCTGCATGCAGCTTTTGAATATGGCCTTCAAGATATATTAAAAACAAAGGGGGGAAAAAGCAGGGGGAGGGAGAGACAAACTCTATTTCAAAGACATTAAAAACTGTGCTACAGTAGAATAAGTACTGCAAGTCAAGAGACCTATTTTCTTGTCCCACTTCTGAGGGTAGCCAGAAGTAAAACTTTCTGTGGATCACTTAGTTTTGTTTCCTAACTTCAAAGTGATAACTTAATAATCATTAATGTTCATCTCAAATTTGATTGTAAAAACCTATTGCATTTCAAGCGTCTTCAAACACTGTATTGGAATAACAGCCCCCCAAGATTATGTCATTTTGCCCTATGAGATTAGTCCTCCACTTTTGTCTCAATTTGAACAGAAGGGAACCTGGATCACTGAGGTTGTACACTCAAGATATACTTTGGAGGAAATGGGACTGAGCAAAGATTATAAAATTGAGTGGAGATGGGCAGGTGAGGAAACGACGAAATGAGACGTGCATAAGACAGTTCTTCCATCAATAGCTCTGCATACAGTCAAGAAAAGAACTTCAATGACGCTGGGGTAGAGCATACAAGCAAGATGTGAGAGAGGCTTTGAGCTGACTTTGCCAGGGAGTCACACCCTCCACTATTCACATCCATATTTCCCAAGTGGACATCAAACTAGTCTCCAGTTCCGGGTTCCCAACCAATTGAATCAAGCCACAACAGAGGGTTCTGCCAACCTGGGAATCGCTTCAAGGCTCTGGAGAAACACACGACCCCAGCACCTGTCGACTTCACACCCTTCCCACAGGGAAGAGGCGGCTAAGAACAGTAGGGTTCTCCGCGCGCCCTCGCCCCCACCCCACCCCCGACCCCGCGTCCTTTCGACTCGGGCCACCACCAAGTCCCGGAATTCTCTAGGCAGAAACAACTTCCAAACTCCGGGAGTAGGAGGAGCCCCGCCGCCGTAGCCTTTCGAAGAATTCCTCCCGTGAAGCTAATTCTCCCGTCTACAGGTTCCAGCCCTCGATCACTGGCCTCGAGGATTCCGAGCTGGGGAATCGAACAGACAGATGCGGAGGGGCAGGGTGCCCTCCCCGCCAACGGAGAAAAAGTTAAGACCACCACAGGAGTAGGTGAGGTACGATCACCCCACCCCACCTCCCCGGACGAGGGCGGGAGACCGACCGTCTGCTGGTCTTTCGAAGGTCTGTCACTCCCTCACTCACCAGGAGCAGCAGGGAACATCTGAGGTCGGGTAAGGGGAGGAAGACGGCAGATTTCATGGTAGTTCGCGTTGGGGTCCGCAGCAGGGACAGGTGGTAGTGGCTGGGGCTGGGTTGGGTCGGGACTGGGCTGGGCTCCGGGAGCCAGCAGCAGCGGACGATCCTCCCGGCAGCGGCAGCTCGTCCTCTCGACCCGGAGCTCCAGCAGCGAACACCCGGGACAACTTCCAGCAAGGTCCCCACCCCCTCACTTCCGAGTCCTGCCCCCCTCGGAACACGACGGGAAATGTAGTCCGGCTCTTCTCTCACCGGGCAGATAGCAAGGCATCCCGAACTCCCTTTCCCAGCAGGCTCTGCGCCAAGACCTCCGCGCGCGGTGCTTTGTGGGATAGCAAGGGCTGGAGGCGGGTGGACCTCGGCGTTACAGAGGATGAGAACTACAATTCCCAGAAGGCTGCACGCTTGACATCCTCCGTGGGCCCTCTGAGGGGCTCAGCTAGCTCCAGCGCCGTGGGGTCTGTCCGAACTGCGCGTAGTTTTCCCGGCCTGGCGGGAGGGGCGGCCTGGTGGGGATCGTACCCCCTGGAGCCGCCCCCCGGGACGTCAGGGAGGAGGTGAGGGTGAGTAGGAGGGCGTCTGGCTGGGGAGGCTCCGGTCGGTCTGCACCGCCCTGGCCTCTACCTCACGTCTCACGGCCCTCCTGGTTTAGCTTGTAGCCTCAGCCTCCATCACTGCCCTCCTTCGCCTGCTGCCTCTTGTTTCTGCGCTAACTCCTGCCTTATAAAGCCGCGGCCACCACTTGGGCATCAGTGTCATGAGTACCGCGGTGCGCTCGTTTAAAGAGCCGATTCCGTAAGGATGGGAAATCACGTTGTCAACTGGAAAACTCAACGCGGGAGTGACTGTTAAGAGAGTGGCTCACTCCTAATGGATAATTACTGAATTCCACTGCGAGCCTTGGAGGAGCTTAACCATCTGGCCCCAAGATAGCTCTCCAACCTCAACTACAAACACCTGGGCCCACGGGCCCCTCATGGTAGCCACACAGGCAGGGCTAAATAGCCAGGAGGCACTTTCGCTGCTTCTGGGGCTTTCTCTACTGCCTTCCTCCTTTGCCTCTTTGCCTGCCACCAATGCAAATGTTACCATTTGAGAATTTCCCCACCAATTTAGCCCTAATCGGAATTACCCTTTGCATGTGACTCCAGCCCCGCTAGTTGTATAAAGTTAGAATTATTAGAACGTTTATCATCCTGGCTTGTTTTATACGCTCGTGATGATACCTTTGATTTTATACCACTTCATAATTAACACTTTGTAGTTAACACTGTTCACACTCTGGACTTAGCACTCAGCCTTTGACCTTTGGTTCAACAAACACTGAGCACCAGTTATCTACCTTGTTACTGTGCTGCATATTTCGAGGTAAAAACCCCACACATTACTGAGGTCTAATATTTTTCAACAGTTTTAATATGGCATATAATCACATATCATGTTACTCAATAGTTCAATCACATCAAGAAGAATTGTACAATCATCACCACAATCCGTTTTGAAGAAATATCTTTGTATGTTTTTCAAAGGGTATAAAACGAACTCCTTAAAACCCTGATCTAAATAACAGGTCTTAGCATGCAGACAGTACCCAGCCCACTAGTGGCACTCCACTTGAGTGACTGGACATGGTCACCTCTTCATTTTTAATCTATTGGCCTGCAGGAGGAACCCCGGAGGCACAGTGGTTGAAGCACTTGGGACTAACAGAGAAGGTTGGCAGTTTACCTAACTACAGTGATGTTTCAACTTCTCCTTTTAGTAGCTTCTTTCAAGGGACTTTAATATAACCCTGTATGTAAGAGTGATGATTCTGAATGTTGAGACATGAAAGAATTTATTCAAGCACCCCCCTCTTTCTCCTCATTTTCTGCCAACATGTTAACACAACTTTTCAGCAAAACAAAGACATGAGGAGCTGGCCTTTGCCATAATTAAGAAAAGACCTTTTCTTGCATATAGAAAGGGGACCAGTCTTCTTTGTCAGAGAAAGCATAAGCTTGGGCTCCTCAGTTCTGATGGAGTTATCTTACAAAACTTTTCTAGATCCCCAGGAGATTTGGGGTGACTGAATAGAGTGACAGGCTTTTGGAGAATTTCCTCTTGATAGCAATTTGCCAAGAGCTGTTAAAAAGCTCCTCTTTAGATAGGTATGTGTGCTCCAATTTGTAAGGGTGAGTTTGACGCCCAACATTTCTTGTCCTTGTACCTCCACTGCCCTTGTAGGCATTCAAGCGTAGAACTTGTGATAGAGCACCTTGGATTTGGGGGCAATGTTTAAGATCATTAATACAACTGCCAATCTCTCCTCCAGGTCAGATGTTTGAATTCTTCCTGCTGAAGTTGTTACATAATCCAGCTTCTGCTTAAATATTCCTATTGACAGGAAGCTAGCTCACTATTTTCTCAAAAAGTCTCTACATTTCTAGAAGATTTCAGCAAACCATATTAGCCTACTAGTGAGCACAAAATTTTTCTTAATGAAGCATGGTTATTCCTAATGATAGGATGGTCCAAATATTCCCCTAAAGTCTCAAGATAGATAGAAATTTCCCTGGTGGACTCAAGAAGAGAACAATTAAAAATTCTACCTTTCATAGGAATGAAAATAATTTAAATCTGAGTGATTCAGTTTTGAAAAGGAAACACCGTGCCCTTTTTGTGCTTGCTCATCATCACCTTTATTCCCCAGTATCAAATCTAAGGTTGAGTGTTATATGGAATCAAATTACCTGCATTAGCAATCACTGCAGCTGTTGAGCCTGTGCCCAGTACTCAATGTGGAGTGTATTTTCTCAGAGTCCTTGAAATGGGTCTTAGAAGCATCTAGCACTCTCATTTGACACATGAGTCACTTGTACAAAAAGTTACCTAATTTGCTACATTCTAGCAACTAGGTCTAGGACTGTCAATTTTGGAATACTACTCAGGCATTTCCTATAACAAACCGGCTTGTCAACAGTGTTAACATCTGACAGCCAAGTTACAGAAAGTATCTCGGGCTGTACTCATTGTTTGAATCATTTCAGGTTGTTCCAGTTACTGAGAAGACATGAACAGGTCTGAGCACTTGCTGTTTACTGGCTCTTCCTTAGCATCGCAGGTTCACGCTGCTGCTGTTAATGGAGATAAGGGCGCTCTTCACAGGCTCATCACAGGTAAGCTGACTCACAGCCCCCGGGTCAATGCTGACTCGTAGCGGTCCAGTAGCAGCTTTCCAAAGCTGCAAGTCTTCTCGGGAGGCGAGCACCTCATCTTGCTCCCACAGAGAAGCTGGTGGTTTTCAACTGCTGACCTTGTGTGTAGCAGCCCAGCACGTATCGCTCATAGATAAGAAGCCTCCTTAAATACAGAAAGTTTTTAAATAATTCTTGCCCTAAGGAAGTCTGTTCATTTTAATTTGCAGTGTACTTCTTTCTACATTGTAATGAAAACATGTTATTATTTGTCTTTTGTGCCAAGACTTGGACAGGAAAGAAATTTAAGTCCTGCAACTTAAAATATGAATTAGAATTAGGTAGAAAGTCATTGAGGAATAGTTATGTATTTTGCAGTGAACCTGGACATGCTAAGGGAATGGATTTATCATCCTGATAGAGATGCAGAATAGGTGGTGGAGACATAGGAAGCCCAAACAAGTCCCAAACAAGCTATTGAAACTCAAATAATAAACTGAATTTCTGGATGATTTTCTTTCATCACATTATCTTCAAGGAAGATCGGAGAGCCTCACATTCGTTGGTGCTTTATAGTTTTAAGTGAGTCCTTGGGTGGCACAACCAATTAAATGCATGACTGCTAACCAGAAGGTTAGCTGTTTGAGCCCACCCACAGGTGCTTCTGAAGAAAGGCCTGGCAAAATATTTCTGGGGGAAAGTCAACTACTCACAACCCTGTGGAGACAGTGCTGCTCTGATGCACACAGCCCATGAGGCAGAATCAACGCAAGCAACGGGTTTGGTTTGGGATCTTATTATTTTCTAGATAGTTTTAACTATGAAATATATTAAACAGATAGAAAAGTATAGGAAATAAACCTCCATTCATAAATCAAATATCCACACATACCTGGGCCTGTTTCTAGTTTCTCTATTTTCTTTCATTGAGTTCATGATCTACTATACTAAGGTGCAGAGGAGCCCTAAAGGTGGAGTGGATTACTTATTGGGCTGCTAAACACAAGGTCTGAATTTCAAAACCACCAGCTGCTCCATGAGAGAAGATGAAACTCTCTACTCTCATAAAGGTTTACAGTCTCGGAAACTCACAGGGTAGTTCTACTTTGTCATATCGGGCCACTATGAATCAGAATCGACTTGATGGTAGTGAGTTTGGTTTTGGTTTTTGATACCAAGATGTCTGTATTACTAAAAGAAAATACATAGTAATGTCTGTTAGGACAGGCCCACCTGCCTCATTCTTCTTCCTTCGCTGTGGGATGCCTTCGTGTGGCCCTTTGCATTTATAAATACACACAGAAGCCTGGTGAGTTTTTATATTTATATGCACAAATGTGTATAAAGATACAGAATCAGATCTGGATAGAGCACATTCCCAACACTCCAGAAAGGTCCTTCATGCACCTTCACCATGAAGATTCCTCCCCAACCCCCAACATACTGTGTTACGCTTAATATATTGCCTGTCAACTCTGAATGCACTTTGCAGTATGTGCTTTGAGATAAACAGAATTCCTTAAAGTATTTCTTTAAAAAGAACACGATGCTAACCTTTCTCATACAGTGCTAGAGGAATATCACCAGACGAAGAGGCTGTCTTGCAGGTCTCCAGTGAGATGGAATGTGGTATGGGGCTGAGGGTATGTGACTGAGCACTGCCCCAGCCATGAGCACAGATCAGAGGCTCTCAGGGATCTGGCAGCCGCTGCTCACTCTGGCATCCAGACTCCCACTCCCAGTTGCTGATCACCTGTCCTCTCCCACCTCCACTGCATCTGGAGGATGCCCTAATGCCTGCCCAGCAACTGTAGACTGGCTCTGCCCTGACCAAACCAGAAAACGTTTCTGCTATTTGGTGAGGTGAACCTTACCCTCTCTTGTGTGGTCCAAATCCCTTCCATGTTTGTCCTTCCTGAATACTTGCTCTCGGTCTTGGAATACCAGGCAGATTTTTTAAAAAATACCTCATGGCTGTGCTTTAGTATAGTTAATAATTTTTTATATTAACCATCTCTTGCTTAACCTACTATCTCCTGATTAAACACAGGCTGCTACATACACATGTACATACACACATGCACATTTACAAGCACATGGTTGTGTGCACCCCCCTCATAGAAACCCTCTTATTTTGACTTCTGTCATCAAGGGTTTGCTTTTAATCTGTTCTTGATCTCCTTGTAAATGGAATCTTGTGATATACTGACACTTGTATAAGGCTTCCTGGTTCAGTAGTTCCTCAATGTGTGCTATACCCAGCCTATTTCTATTCTCCATTGATTGTTTATAGTTTTTTTCTATTATACATAAAACTACTATGAACATTCCTTTATATGTTTTCTGGTATACTTAGGTACTCATTGCTCTTGAGTAATATACCTAACTATGTGTATATACATAAATAATTTTAGAATGGTTTTAGATTTATAGGAAAATTATTAAGATCGTACAGTACCCATATGCCTCTGTTGGGAGCTACCTTGACTCTTTACCCCACTGTGTCCCACCCCTCCAAGCCACCAAAAACAAATTGACTGCCACTGAGTCACTGCTGACTCCTAGTGACCCCCTGTGGGTTTCCAAGACTGAAGCAGTTTACTGGAGCAGAAAGCCCAGCCTTTTCCAGAGGAGCTGCTGGTGGTTTCAAACTGCCACCCATGCAGATCACAGCCCAACACACATCACTAAGAGTCACACATTGACTCATAGCACATAACAAGACAACATTATACACACAGTAGAGGGCTTCAAAAAGTTTGTGGAAAATTCCATTATCTTTTTTACTTCATTTCCCACAAACCTTTTGTGTGTGGTCTGTGTGTGTTGGTGTATAAAACAATAGAAAGTAGGCCTGGTGGCACAGTGGTTTCAGATTTGGTTGACAGTTTGAGCCCACCAGCAGCTCTATGGGAAAAAAATAATAAGTTACCTGCTTCCATAAAGATTTATAGTTTCAAAAAAATAAATAAATAAATGGAATTTTTAAAAAGATTTATAGTTTCAGAAACCCTATGGGGCTGCTATCCATCCTTTAAGGCCACTATGTGTCACAGTCAATCTGACTGCAATAAATGTAAGATAATAACTCATAATTTATAAAAATAATTTTAATAATAGCAAGATATTTTGTCTTACATGATTAGTATTTTTGTTTCCTATTTAAAAATCTTTGTCTAGATACCCTTCAGAAACAGTAACAGGAGTAGTGGTTCCCTGGGGGAACAGGAAGTGAGAGGGGATGCTGATAGCACTGATGACTGTATAGCCCCACTTGAGGGGAGCAAACAACAGAACTGTATGTGAATGAATATATTGGATGGGGTAAGCAAAATAAATAAATAAGGTTTCTGTGGGGAGGAGGAGGGAGGGCATAAAGGGGAGCTGATATCAAGGAGTTCAAGAAGAAACAAAATGTTTTGAAACTGATTGTGGTAGCAATTGTACAATACTGCTTGATGTGATTGAACTATGGAATGTTATATCTGTAAGAGCTCCCACTAAAATTCTTTTTTTAAAAAAACTTTGTCTATTACAAGGTCATGAGAACAGTTTGTTGACAACTAGAAACTAATTTTTTAGTTATTTTAGTTATTTCACATTTATTTGGATATAATATGAAATAGAAGCCAAATTAATTTTTTTCATGTAGATATCCAATTGATTTAGATTCACTTATTGACTACACTATTCTTTTATTGAATTTCAGTGGTGCTTTGTTTTAAGTGAGGTAAGCATATTTTCATGTGTCTACTAATAGAATCAACTTGATGGCAGTGGGTGGAGTTTTAATGGAATCTATTTAGGTTTTCCTTTTACCAGTATCATAGTGGAGCTCTGCTAGATCTCTTATGCAAAGATTTTTTATTGCTTAGTCAGTTTCTTCAATGACTCTAGGATGTCAGGATTTTTGTTTCTTCTGTGTCATTTTTGGTATTTGTAGCATTAGGTGATTTGTAATAGTTTCTGACCCTTTTAGGATATTTTGTGTGTATTAGTTTTTTTCTTGATTCGTCTTATTTTTGACTCTTTGTATCCCTTCTGTTTTGTATTTGTCTTGTATTGTGCTCTTAATACTGCATTTCTTCGATGTCCTTTGTATTTGTCCTGTGTTTTTGTTTATGTGGTTTTGTTTTTAACTTTCAGAGCTACATGGATAGGGTATTCAGTTTAACCTTCTTTCCTAAGGTCAGTATTTCAAGATCTACACTTCCATGAAATAACTGTTTGAGCTGCATTTTACCAATGTAAATAGGGCTTTTATCATCATTCAGTGAAATATATTTTCTCCTTCCTTCCAGATGTTTCTTTGGCTCATAGGTTATTTAGGAATCTATTTCTTAATTTTTAAGCCCAGGAGCATTTTTTAAAGCTTCGGTTGTGTTATTGATCTTTAGCTTAATTGCGCTGTAGTCACAGGACATTGTCTACATGGCTTCTCTCTTTTGAAATTTACTGAAATTGCTTTATGACCCAGAATATGATGTTTTGCTAAATGTCTCACGCTCTCTTCAAAAACAACAACATATATATATAATTTTGTCACTTCCCTGCTCAAGAATCTTTAATTGCTTCCAATTGCACTTAAAATAATAAAAATCTAAAGGCTACATGTATGTCTTTTCCTCTCCAACCTCACTTTTAACCTTCTTTCGAGAAAAACTTGTTTTCTTTCAGTTTCTTAAACCTGTTAACTTCTTTTCGACTCCAGGATTTTTGCCTACAATGCTGTTCTCCCTGTGTTATGTCTGACTAACTCTTACTCATCCGACAGGGCTCAGTGTTAGTCATATCTTCCAAGAGTGCAGCTCTGTGACCCTCCAGTCTCAGTGACGTGAGTTACTGTGTTCTCTCTGGGACCACCTTACAGTTCCTTCATAGAACTTCTCAGGGAAAAAAAAGAACTTCTCAGCTTGAAGCTGTATGTTTATGTGTACAATTATTCTTGAATAACTCCTTCTTTAATCAGATATTAATGTCCA